GACAATTTACACACCGAGGTCAGCTTTATATTTCGAAACTGGGTGGCCCAAACTATCAGATTGCAGAAAAATCCGCAGACTTTGTTTACTTTGGAAAATAATAAATGGGCTTTGTCCCGCTGGAAAATAATAAATAGGCTTTGTCCCGCATACTTATCACATTTAGTTCCTTCTATCAATAATATACCTTACATCCCACTTCTACTCGTTGCCACTGGCAACCTTTGATAAAACTGTCCTGTTTATTTGCAATACATGCATAAAAATATCCGTGTATCAAAAATGTACAGAAAGAGTACTGTTCATTTCTGATACACGGATACTTTTATACCGTTTTAGATATCTATCAAGCAATAAGTAGCGGACGTTTAGTCCGACCCAGATCGCAATTGATAACGATGGCTCTAACCAATGTACATGAAACAACTAGTCAAAATCATAGTAACAAAACAAAATGGGGGGAACTACATGGCAGTTCAAAAATATATACAATGACATTAAATTAACATAACAACATATTACAAAAATCAATTATTATACTTATCAATTGGCATCTATTTCATAATTTGGTTTGATTTATATTAATATGCAAAATATATCAATCAATTCTGCTCCTATACTGGGCTAATGAAGACGGGCATACGCCATACAGTGTGCTATGAGGGAAATTTTGCCCGGGCAGCGGCACTATCGCCTACTCTTATATCGAATTCCAACTGCCAAGGGATCTTTTACGTGCATTCCAATGTATACACGGGACCTCGGTTTTTCGTCTCATCTGAAGGACTAGACAGCTATCCTTGTCAGGCCCTCCGTCCTGCATCACTGACAAGGGGGAACCACGCTGGAAAATCTGAATGAACTTTCTCGGCCAATGCAGGGATCAAACACCCGACCTCCAGGCTAGCGAGCCAGCGTCTTACCCACTTAGCCACGTGATCCCCTGAAAATAAGTAGGTTGAAAAAAAACGCCTAGAAAGTCATAAACTTTATTACAAATAAATTTCAACGGAAGAACCATCCGCCGATGCATACTTTCACCAGAAATGACCCACGTTTCGCATTTCCATTACACTACAGTTAATAATATCGCAGTCTAAACAAACACGTGATTGTTTTACGCTCAGAGTATCATAGCAAGATGCACGTGTAAATACTACTCAGGTCGTCTCTCCACTGCGAAATCATTCTACCATGAAATGTAACGTGTGGCTCAGAAAGGGATAAATAATGAAAGAGCAGAAAGTATTTGTCACTTTTCGGTTGAAACGACGCGATAATAAATACTATTTTTCACATTTTGCTTCACAATACTCGATAGAAATGTGATGTAAGTAACTTATTAGCACCTTTCCTCGGTGTATCGGTGAATATCAGGACAGTTTTGGTCGGGAGCCGCCCCGGCTGGGCCCCTCGACCAAAACTGTCCTGATATTCACCGATACACCTCGGAAAGTGTGCTAATAACTAATACATATAATCTAAGAAAGCAAGATAACATACCAATTCCTTTTTGTAGACTAAGTCTTAAAAACAATCTTTTTTTCATAAAACAATTTCCGAATATAATAGACTATTAATTGATAAAAAGAATGCAAATTCATATCTCAATTTCAAAAAATCTTTTTCAATTAAATTTCCGACACCACATTATACAAACGCTGGCATACGTAAACTAACAATTCTTCATAACACACTCCGTCATTCATCTAGTAGCCTTAATAATGACCTATTTCAATCAAACATTATTGACACATCTATGTTCTTGTAAAATGTCAGTGGAAAATATACCATTACTTTTTTAAATGTCCCATTTATACAGCTCAAAGAGATAATGTCTGATATTAATTATCTTAATAGTCTTTCCTCTGACAAATAATTACATATCTTACTAAATGGGAGCCCTATTTTACCCAACATTTTAAACAAGAAATTATTTCTTGCCGTTAACGTTATATTTCCAGCACAAAACGTTTTAATAGTAAATTATACACTTGGTTTTACAGGGGCGGATCTAGGAATTTTTGCAGGGGGGGGGGGGGTCATGTTCCTGAGACAATGTATCTCTCTCCCCCCCCCCTCCCGCTTGGTTTCTATCGTCATTTTGGCGTATATACATACATATTGAGCTTTTAAAACAGAGAAATTCAACACCTCGTTTGACGTCAATTTTTATTATGAATTAATACAATGACTTTGTGATTCAATTTCATGGATGCAAAGCATTAATTGTGATATCACATAATGTCTATATCATTATCTCGTGCTTTGAGTGCCCATCCTGTCCCAAATCTGACGATAAAGGATAAAGCACACGGCCGAGAAACCTTTCTCATAAAAAGTGTTGATTTACAAAAAATTTATGTAGCTGAGCAGGGGGGGTTTCGACCCCCCAAACCCCCCCTCTGGATCCGCCCCTGTTTTAATTCTTTATTGATTAATGTACATCCTCACAATCACTCACTCATATTTATAATATTGTTTAGATACACACATATTTATGATTATAGTATATATTAGATGCTTCATTTAGTAAAATGATAATGATGTAACTGTTCTTTTATATACCACAACTACAACAGTAAATAGATGGTAGATAATTATAAGTATGTGTACATATTGCATATAGCTGTATTGTATGGTAATGTTTGTTTTCACAAATTGCATTGGTAATGGTACCATTCCATTTTGTTCTGCCATTTCACCATCTAAATTTAATTTTAGATAACTTTTATGTATTTATTGTAGTATAACAAGATCACATTAATGTCAGCATTTACATGTATCAAATGAATAAGATAGTCGAATGGACCGTATAATTATATTAGGTAGCCCTAAATGTTCCAATTTCTTGCTTTAAACACACCACTGAACCAGAATTAAGAAATTATTAGTTGTTTAAATTTAGGATAGAAAGCAATGGGGAACTTACACTATTAAATGACAACAAAATCATTTCCCAAATAAAGAACAGACAAAAAAGTCATTTATTTAGATACGAATTCGTTTTAATAAGCCCACATTTTCATCTGTCCACAATTGTTTGTGAACACTCTAAAGGTCACAATTTTTATCCGATTTCAATGAAACTTGAAATATAGGTTTATTACCCTAAGATCTCGGTTCCTTTCGATATTGGCATGTATCGGACTGTAACTTCATGGATTATGGCCCCCGATTGTACGAAAAATCACACTTTTAGCTTGTGAACACTGTAGAGGTCACAATTTTTATCCGATTGGTTTAAACTTGAAATGTATTTTTATAACCCACAGATCTCGGTTCCTTTCGATAGTTGCGCATACCGGACAATAAATTCCTGAACTATTACCCCTGATTGTACAAAAGATCACATTTTTAGCTTGTGGACCCCATAGAGGTCACAATTTTTATTCGATTTACAAAACCATGTGAATATATCGCCGTTACATTCTAAGAATGGTTGAGTTCGAATTTCGTAATAATCGGACCGTAACTGACAGACAAAATGGCCGCTCCTCGTTCGCAAATAGTTTCAAAATATTGTGTATCAGGGTTGTGGATCCTATGGAGGTCACAATTTTTATCTGATTTTGATGAAATTTAAAATGCAAGTTTATAACCCAAATATCTTGGTTCCTTTCTATTTTCGTGCATATCAAATTGTAACTTTCTGAATTATGGCCCCTGATTGTACGAAAAATCGCGTTTTTAGCGTGTGGTCCCTCTAGAGGTCACAATTATTATCCGATTTAAAAAACATTTTCGAATATATCACCGTTACACCTTAATTTTGTCTGAGGTTAAGTTTCATGAGAATCGGACCAAAATTGCCAGACAAAATGGCCGCCCCTCATACGCAAATAGTGTAAACATCTGGTATATCAAAGTTGTGGACCCTCTTGAGGCCACAATTTTGATCCGATTTTGATGAAACTTGAAATGCAAGTTTATAACCCAAAGATTTCGGTTCCTTTCGATATTCGCGCATATCGAATCGTAACTTCCTGAATTATGGCCTATGGTTGTACGAAAAATCAGTTTTTAGCTTGTGGTCCCTCTAGAGGTCACAATTATTATTCGATTTAAAAAAAACTTTCAAATATATCACCGTTATACCGTAATGTTTGTTGACTTTGAATCTCGTGAAAATCAGGCCAAACTGCTGGACAAAATGGCCGCCCCTAGTACGCAAATACTGTAAACATCTGGTAAATTGCGTTTTTAGCTTGTGGACCCTATAGAGGTCAACATTTTTATCCGATTTAAAATATCGTTTTAGTATATCACCGTTACACCCTAAGGATGGCTGAGTTCGAATTTCTTGAAAATCGTCCCAAAAATGACAGACCATTTGGCCGCCCCATGTTCTCAAATAGCGTAAAAGTATGGTATATCCAGAATGTGGACCCTATAGAGGTCACAATTTTTATCCGATTTTGTTGAAACTTGATATGTAAGTTTATAACCCAAAGATCTTGTTTCCTTACGATATTCGTGCATATCTGACCGTAACTTCCTGAATTATGGCCCCTGATTGTACGCAAAATTGAGTTTTAAGCTTGTCGACCCTGTAGAGGTCATAACTTTTATCCGATTTATAAAAACATTCAAATATGTCACCATTACACCCTAAGGATAGTCGAGTTCGAATTTCTTAAATATTGGATGAAAACTGACAGACAAAATGGTCGCCCCTCGTACTCAAATAGTGTAAAAATATGGTATATCAATGTTGTGGACCCTCTAGAGTTCACAATTTCTTTTAATTTTGATGAAACTTGAAATGTAAGTTAATAACCCAAAGATCTTGGTTCCTTTCGATATTCTGTTTGTTTTTAGCTTGTTCTCTATCCATCTCTTGCAAAATGTGGGCGTATCCTGCCTGGCAGCCGCTGGTTTGCAATACCTTGGCAGTATCAAAGTCAATGCAATACAATAAATAGTAGCGGTACCCAACACTACTTGGTTATTATAGGTTTTCTGATCAGAAGTATATATATTTTAACTATATTTTACAGATTACATAACCTTGTTACTAGTCGGCAGCAGGATAAACAAAATATAGCTATATTAGAGAAAAAATTAATAGAAGAACGAAAATTACGGACCTCATTTGAACAACAGCTGGCTGCTGAACGAAAGGCCAAAAAGGTAGAGGATGCAGCTGCTGCTCGAGCTGTTGCCATGGCATCTGCGTCAAGGTAATATTTTCATGTTTATGTAGTATAATGTTGACGGATCATCATTCCATTTCAAGTGGACCAATGCTTGTAAAGTGACCCACTCGGCCCCTCAGAATATTATGATTTGACGGGACACGATTATTGTGTCGTTTTTTGTTGAAAATTGCCACGATAATGCCATGATAAATAACTTGGTGTAGAAGTCACGATCGGGTGACACGATAGTCGTGTGACACGATAGGACTCGGTGTAATTTGATGATGTAAAATTAACGATATTTATCTGTCATTTAATAGTTTCCTCAATAATCCTAACATGAAGAGCCACTCTGTATAGAAAGAACACACGTGTACATATGCCGTTATATTTCAACGGAGTTCCGTAAAGCTGCATGTCTAATGAAGAACACGTACATTTGAAACTATATTACAGTTTCAAAATTTATGTTACGTTCGTGTGTGTTTTGTATTTAAACTATTAAAAAGTGTGACGGTTAAAAATTGCAAATAAAAAAACTATTTTGATGATCGATCTTGAAAATAGAAATAGTTTACATGTATAAAAATAACTTACAGCGGAATTTGAGTGCGGTTTCAAGTCAGACATAAACTCGTACTTATTGTAAAACGTAACACAGATCTAAGATGTACTAGATTGGAATCGCACAAAAGCCTGGGCACTCGTTTTATTCGGCATGAATTTTGATCTAGATCAAAGGATATGTCGTTACTACTCGTGTTACCACAAAGGAAAGGAAATTAATTTGATTGAATATCTTGGAATCACAATACTTCGGTCATTATATGATAATTCAAAACAGATATCTACTCAGGATTATACTTTTTCAGTGTGATTAACCCGTTTGTAGTGTTGCCGCATGCGCTTGTCTACACATACGTAATTGCACTCAATCAGTGAAAATACTTTTAACCTTTTTTGATTACCTTGTCTTGAATCTACTGTCCAAATTAATTAATCTGTTAAAATCACACAACCCATTCAGTATTCGGTTCATTCATTGATGTTTTATAATTTCTATTATTTATATTTTCTAATATTGGCTTGTATTCGAAGTCAAACTAACCCCAAAAGAGTATATAACAAATCACAAATGAAGGACTCTTCCAGAATTATTTCAACATGGCAATAAGGATGTTAACACGAGAGAGCATGCACTTTTTAGTGCAGTTCCAGGACGACGATACAACTATGGTAGTTTCGAGATCAAAGGTATTTACTGAAGGGAGAGTGAGAGTGGGTGGTGTATATATGGTTCAGTATGGGGAGAAGAAAGAGGATAGTTTTAGTACTGAAATTTTGGACGAAGGGCCATGGATAGAGCTTCAGAAGAAAATGCCCAGAAAAGCAACCACACCAGTGACCCCAACTGTTACTGTAAAACCAACCTTAAGCAAGCCGACTAAAAGAAAGCCGTCGTCTACTAAAAAACCCACAAGAAAAAAATTGGAAAGTGGAGTGAGTAGTTTATTACAGTACACATATCAAATATCGGGTCAGAATTCTTTATCAAATGTAAACAATACTATTAATTACATATATACACAACATTAGAATCGTATATAATTATTCAAAAATGAGTAAATGTCCAGTTCAAAATTGAAAAAAGACACTTTACAAAACTATATAAAAGAAAAACAAGACTATTATTTAAACCCATATACATACAAACATTCTAGACTACCTGACGAGGAAACGGGACACTTGGCGGTTAATCTTTACGAACAAATATTTTAATAAATGTTTAATATGGACAAAAACGGCAAGATATAACAAAATTAAAGAATACACATATTTAAAAATATTTCATATTAGATAAAAGGTACTAATAGTATAAGTAAAATACTTAGAAAAAACATGCAAAAATAAACGGCTTTAAATAAACAATAATGTGAGTTCTTATCAATTCTTATTCCTAGGTTTACAAGATTCGAATTTTTTTTTAGCAATTTTTGTTTTTTTAATAAATCTGTAAAATACTGGATACTTTTCCCCCTTGAGCATTCCCGAAAAACAACATTTGGTATGTCCCCAGAACCTTGCCCACCCACAGAAATTACAATTGGGACAACTCTATAAATATGATCAATAAAAGTACTACACGTGTCTTGGGTTAAGTCATTTCGCCAGAATTCATTACAACATTTTACAAGTTCCACTTTTGTAGTAGGGTTTCTTTTCGACACCCTTCTTTTCAACATATTCCACACCATTTCAATGGGGTTCAGGTCACAACTTTCTGAAAAATAGAAATATATACATGTATATCAGTAATCGTTCTACTCTGTGGATGAACATGCGTTATAATATTCCAAGTTGTTTTTTTGTGGGAAGAGTCTGGTACTATTTCGACCTTATTCTCTCATGGGACTTTTCACTTCCCATGTTACAAACAATGAATATATGCTTAAAGAATTGGCTTTTACCTGATGGCCATTCTTTTATCTAATTTATATCATTGGTATGGATGAAGTCTTGGGCCTTCTTTGACTTACGTTTTGGGTCATTATCTTGAACAAAGCGATGGCCACCCAGGAACTTATTCTGGATAAAACATGGTCCTTGTAAAATTCGGCATCCATTATCCCATCAAAAATTAAAAGGTCTTTGGGTCCGCATTTGCAGATGCCACCCCACAGATGAATTTTAAGGGGATGCTTCGGGCGACAATGATGGGGGGCTACTTGTTCCTTTTGTCTATATGCTACAGTCTTGTTATCGTGCAATTGGATACTGCATTCATTGGTAAAAATCACATCATCAAAGTTATCGTTGCTGCGCAGTAAAGATTTTCAAAATTCAACACGTTTAAGTTTGTTTGCATCGCGAATGAGCTGGCAATACCGTGGTTTGGAGGCTGTGTATCCAGCAACAGATAGAGCCTTTAATACTGTTGTTTTACCATGTTTGTTCCGGAGTCAGCTAAAATTTTCCTAATGTCACTTGAACTACGATTGCAGTCGTCATTTAGAGAGTTTTTCACAATATTAATATCCTTGTTGTCCCCCGCCTTTCGAAGAAAGCAGGGGACTATTATAATGGGTTCGTCCGTCTGTCTGTCCGTCCGTCTGTCTGTCCGTCACACTTTTTGGGACACAATAACTCTCCTTCTAATATGTGTTTATTAGGTCAATGCCTTGATGGAGTTCGAAGATGAGCATTTTCTGCTTAGGGTAAGCAGAGATAAGCAATTTGATTGGTTGATGCTTTGGGACACGATAACTTTAGTTCTAATTAAGTGTGAGTGATGAAACTTGGTGTATAGTTTCATTACATCAATACCTTCGATAATGAGCATTTTCTGCTCAGGGTAAGCAGAGCGATAAGCAATTTGATTGGCCGATACTTTGGAACACAATAACTCTCGTAATAACACAATAACACAACTTTATGGATTTACTACTTCTTAGTTTATTACATGCAACGTTTCAATACTCTTACAGGTATCTTTATCAAGCAATGATCAATAATCGTTTGTTCGTTCGTTCTTGGTGTTTAACGTCTGCTTCCACATAAGTGATATCGCAGACAAGACATAGGAGAGCCGAAGCTGATTCCTGTTTTTTAGAATATGATTTTGCAATCTTTCCATTTGGCCTTAGGCCATGGATTTGGTTTAGTGGGAAGTTCTTCCCTTTATTTAATATAAAACATATCGTTTGGTAGATGATCTCGTCTGCTTCTGGATTGGTAGATGTCATCGTTTGGGGTTAGTGTTTAGGTGCCAGGCCCATCTTATCGTGGCCTCCCCTTACTCCACTATCCCATTCTCTGGGTTTGGTATCAGTTTTATTTGCGGAATAGTGTTTAGGTGCCAAGTTCGTCTGACCGTAACTCCTCATTACTCCACTATCCTGCTAGTTTGGTAGATGTCATCTTTGTGGGGTTTGTGTTTAGGTGCAAGGCCCGTCTTATCGTGACCTCCCCTTTCTCCACTATCCCACTCTGCAGGTTTGGTGTCTGTTTTTGGTGGAATAGTGTTTAGATGCCGAGTTCGTCTGATCGTGACTCCCCCTTACTCCACTATCCTGCCAGTTTGGTATAAATCCCCTATGTAGTTTAGTGTTTAGATGCCAGGCCCGTCTAACCATGACCCCCTCTTACTTCACTATTCTACTTAGTCCAACTGTGTCCATTAGGGCGTGAATTTGTTCGAAGATTTGCAGTTTCAGATCTGGTCTCGGGAAGAGTAGGTTCTTAGTGTTGAATGGTATGTTGTTGGTCTCCATTGTTCTCACTAGTTCCCTTCTCTCCTCCTTGTATACCTCGCAGTCTACCAGGACATGGTTGGTGGTACATTCTTCTCCACACTCACAGATGATGACTTGGTGTTTGTAGTCTCGCAGCCGCTCTTTCACCCTTAGCTTCAATATAAGTCTACAAATATCTCTTCTAGGGTGATTGAGTGTTGTCTTTGTGTAGATCTTGTCATCCAGCCGGAATCTGTATGTGTCAAGTTCAACGAGATTTAAAATTCTCAGATTGAATTGACGTGTCTTTTGACCATACTGTAGATTTCCGTGGTGCTGTAGTCTATGGTGCGGAGTGGTGCTGTGTCCTTGAGATCTTCATTGGCGAGTCGATCTGCCTCCTCGTTTCCTCTAATTGTGACGTGATGGAATCCACACGAGTTCTACTTTGCTTCCCTTCTCTAAAACCCTCTGGTACTGCTACCTGATTTCCAAAATGACTTCTGGTCTTGAGTCCGAGTTGTCATTTTGGATTGAAATCAGACGCTCAGAGAGTCGCTTGGAATGACGAACTTACTAGTCTTTTGATGGGAAATCCATGATATAGCGTCACAAATGGCCACAAGCTCTGCAGAGTACACCGAACAGTTATTGGGCAGTTTCCTGCTTATTCCCTGTTCCCCGTTTGGCAGGTATATTCCAATCGAGCTGGTGCCCCTTTCAGGATTGCATGAGCCATCCGTGTACACATGGTCCCAGTCATCAGACAGCCAGTTGTCTTCCAGGTGTTCTAGAGAGAAAGCACGTGCA